GCAGGGGGGTAGACTAAAAGACCTTCTGAGGTCTCTTCCAACCCTCATGTTCTACGATTCTATGTTTTCAACATTTTTTCATTTGCAGATCCCTAAAAAATTCAAATAGAGAAACCGACCCCTTTGAATTGTAAGTGTGGGTATTCACATACTTTTGACTGATTGCAGTCATCTTTCATGGACCTCTTAGACACAGTCTGCAGATCCTCAGGGGTCTGCAGACCACACATTGAAAACCAGAGGTTTAAAGTGTAAGATCTGTGACGGACATCTCCCCCCCACACACATATATGCATGCACACAATATACTGTCATACTGTATTCTATTTAAACTAGACTGCAAGCTTATTGTTATAGGTTTACAGACGAGAGATGGGATCCTCACAGCGTAAAAGTACAGCAGGGACGCTCCGGTGATGACAGTACGGGACAAATTCAACCTCATTTATACAGGCAGAATGACAGACTCTGATATGGCTGTATGTAAACATGCAAGACCAAAATCTAGCCAAAAGTCTGAATGATGGGAATCTAACACAAATGGTCGTAAGCCCTTTTTTTTTCAAAATGAAAAATGCATCTCAACAGCATTTAATGCACGGCAAAAAGTGCTCTAGGAAGCCCTGCAAGAGCGATTCGATCAGAAACACACAAGATACAGGACTGAACAGGAAGTGGAGCATGTACCTTTAATGAATTCACTGATCTGAGTCTGCATGGGGCCTTTCTCCACGTTCTGTACCACAGCGTTGGCTATTCGGGTCAGATGGCCCATATTCCCTCGCCTCATGCCACCTTCTGCCCTGAAAACAAATAGTTGGTACCAGTTTAACAGAACACTTATCAACAAGTCCTTAAGTGTCACTTGCTGCTCCTCCAGTAGTAATTGCATCTGTGCAAACAGAAATTACTGCAACCGAGGCCAATGTTGAGATGCTGCCTCGACCCCGCACCTGCACCGAGGGGCGCTGGGTCTCCTCATGACGAGAGATTCTGGTCAGGTAGACTGACAGACAGCGACGGGATGACCACAGTCCTGCCTACTCCAAATTCACTGGATAGCCTTTGGTGCCAGCTAAAATCTTCACTAAAATTTTAACACACATCAGTCATCTACTAAGTGCTACAAGAGACTGGCACAGAACTAGATCATTTATCTTTTTATAATTTTAACTAGAGGAAAAAAACCACATTGGAACTAAGAAGGATGAGTCACTGCCATACTGAAAACGCATCTGAATTTGAATTGGTTGTCTCTGAGCAAGAGAACATAACCCTAACCATAAATTGCTCCATTACAGAGAATAGAAAAAGTCAAAATAAAGTCAAACAGTCACCAACACACTTTGCCCTTCTATAAGCCAATGAAGGAGTCTCTCTCAAAAATCAGACAGCAAAGCGGATGGATCAAAAGAAAATTTATGAGGTTCAACAAGGACAACTGCAAAGTCCTGCACTGAGAAGGGAGCAATCCCATGCACTGGTGCAGGCGGGGGGTAACTGGCTGGGCAGCAGCTTTGCAGAAAAGGAACTTGGGGGTGACAGGGGACAAGAAGCTGAACAGGAGCCAGCAGTGTGCCCTTGTTACCAAGGCTACTGGCATCCTAGGCTGCATTGGTAGGAGCGCTGCCAGCAGATCCAGGGCAGTGATTCTTCCCCTCTATTCAGCACTGGTGAGGCCACATCTGGAGTCCTGTGTCCAGTTGTGAGCTCCCCCCCCGCACTACAGAAAGGATGTGGACACATTGGAGGGAGTCCAGTGGACGGGAGTGAAAATGGTTGGGGAGCTGGGGAACATGACTTGTGAGGAGAGGCTGAGGGAACTGGGCTTATTTAGTCTGGAGGAGAGAAGACCGAGGGGGACTGAAGAGCAGCCTTCACCTCCCTGCAAGAGGGCTGCAAAGATGATGGAGCTGGACTGTTCTCAGCGGGGGCAGATGACAGAACAAGGAGCAATGGGCTCAAGTTGCACCAAGAGAAGTTGGAGTTGGATATTAGGAAAAACTCTCTCACTAGCTGGGTAATAAAGCACTAGAACAGGCTCCCCAGAGAGGTGGTAGAGTCTCAATACTTGGTGGGTTAGGGTTAGGGTAGACAAAAAGCCTTGGCTGAGATGATGTAGCTGGGGTTGCTTGGAGCAGGGGGTTGAACTCGATGTGATCTCCTGAGGTCCCTTCCAGCCCTCATTTTGTATGATTCTATGAAAAAGCAAATACCAAAACAGCTGAATCCCACTATCTACTATTCCAAGATTGAGGCATACTAAATTAATACAGACCGAAAGGCTTAAAAATTAGCAGGTCAAAAATCAGATTGTATTAAAAGCCCATCATAACAGCACATCAAGAAGGCTGTCCCATGTTTCTAAATCCTAAGCAGGATACTGTCAAAGAAAACCACTTCTCTGTACTCCAAGTGGAAGCTGATGGTCTGTAATCCAGTAATCTGTTAGTAAATGCTAAACCCTTTGACTTCGATATAGTCAAATTAATCCAAAACCCAAAGTTAATTTTGAGGTAGCAGGCTGCTTTCATGTCGATTCCTCCCTGTAACTGCTTTAGGTTTTCTACATGCTGTTCCAGTAACCCTTCATGTTCAAGTCTAAGCTGACGGATGTTTTGCTTCACTCCTCCTACACAGGACCCATTTCTCCTAACAATATGAAGTCACAGCTAAATGTTTGAGCCTGTGTTATGAGTTAAAAATCAAGGGCACCCCAAGCATTGCCAGAACCTCAAAAGAGTGACATGGCTGTAACCTAAAACAAGATCTGTCTCCTAACAGCGGCACTACTATATGAAAAAAAGTGAATGTTCTGTCTCATTTTTCCACCGATCTGTAGAGACAACAGTGGACATATGTGAATGTAGGTGACAGTTGTGTAAAAAGCCCTCTCCTTCCACTCCTCTCCAAAGTCCTGCTTCTGCCAGTTGCACCTATTTTTGTCCAAAATATTAAAACCATACTCTACAATGCAACACAGCCATGCACTGTCTTTATGTATGGTTTCCTAAGCCACTTAATTTGAAAAATGAGAGAGGCAGGACCCACAACTTACCATCTGGGCTGACCGGGTCAAGGAGCAGTTTTAATACTCAATTAATAATAACATACAAGCTAGACTCTTGTCTTGCCACCATCTAACAATCTATTCCTACCATGCACGCACTTGCTGTTTGCTACTTTGACAGCACAAATGAAAAGATGTGCGAAATCAGCTACCTAAATTACTAGGTTTTCTTTAACTGGATTGAAGTTAATGTTTTGCTTGTTTCACCTCCGAAGTCCTGACGCACACTAAGAGTTAACACCAAGTAAAATGGACCATCAGCAGCAGAAAGTGCTGTGGAAGGAAAAGAAAAGGGGTTTTGAATACATGACTTACCACATAAGGATTGTCAGGAGCTGACAATTGCCTGTACAGCAATTATTATTTATAGCACCTCACAGCTTGAAAGTACAGAGCAAAAGGTTTAGGTGAACAAGGAAACAGCAGCTCCAACCACAGTCATTCACACTTCTTTCATTATTTTTAAAATTCTTGGGTCATACCAATCATCATGTTTTCTGAGTGGCTTCCTCAGCTAGAAAACTGAGGAATATAATGTCTGTCAACCTAGGTGCTACTGCCCTTCCTCTTCACAAGGGATAAAAAATGCAAACCCCTAATTTTGGTTTATTAAAAATAAGTAAACCAATGCGGTATTCTTTAAGGCAAGAATGAAACATATTTTGCAGAATGGTCTGAGGTCATTCCCAGTCTCCTGTACATGCACAAGGGTCTGTTATCCATATTTGTATTTAAAATCACAACATAGCAACTAAAAACAATGTAGGTTCTTTTTCAAGGATGCTAGAAAACTTTGCAAAGTATTCAAACAGGCAAAAGAATATTCAAAGGAGAATTCAAAATCCACAGCCCTAGAACTGGGACCCCATTATAACAAAAATTTCTTACTGTATTTTATCATTGGTTTCCCAAGCATCCAGTATCCTCTGCACCAAGCAGCACTTCTGGAACAGCTGGAGAAGGAGAAAGAATGAGAGCAGTTAAGACACTAGCTAAGGACAATCCCATCCCCTGGGCAGGCCTGTCTTAAACTGTGTGCTACTTCAGTTCATCTCTATTCCTTCTGTCACTTAGAAGTACTTTAAAATGTGTTTTAAATGGATTTGCCTTGATAGGGCAAACTACACAAGAACCTTATAAAAAGGTCCAACATTTCTCACATCTCCCATAAAAGGCATAAAGCTTCCTCTATATCTTAAGATACCTCTTGCCTTAGAGGAAAGGAAAGACAGTGATACCTAAAATCTTTTTCAGGATGTCCTTAGAGGTTTCAGCACCATACTAGTGAATGAAGCAACTGTGGTTTCATAACCCCTGTGAAAAAGAAGCTTTTTAAGAAAAGCACAGGCACAAACAGAAGAGTCAGGGGTGTAACAGTGGTGATTGTTCTTTTTTTGTCCAAACTTTCTATGCACATTTAGTAAGAGACAAAAGGAAAAGAGATCTCTAAGCTTATTAATGAACAGGAGTAAGAGGCTTCATTTACAAATGAGCCAACAAATCAGCTGTAGAAAGGCAAGTACATTTCCGTCCAAAACTGGAAGAACAAAACGATGTCTAGACAGTTTTGATAAACATCACTGTGCCCTCTTGAGCAGTTTATCAGATTACTTTCTTGTTAAGCAAGACCTCTGCCAAATCCATCCACCTAAGGTTCTCACATGACATGACTAGACTTACATGCGTCACCATGATATTTTCTGGCCTGTTGTCTGGAGTGTCTGAGTTTTCTGTGGTCACATTCCCACTCAGTACCTCTTCTTTATTTTCCTGGTCATTCGTTGTTTTCCCTTCGTGCACAGAGTGCGAGAGGATCGCTCCTATGCACAGTTCCACTTGGAAATGCAAAAAGTTATTCCACGTGTATGCAAAAAATAAGTCCTGGAACAATGTAAAGAAAAGCAAAATATCAGTTCAGGGCCAGCCTGATCAGCCCTTTCCGCACAAACTTATTTTGCAACTGGGACCAACAGAAAACACTGTCAAACATCCTGTGGCAGAAAGCCACCTTGGTTTCTCCCCAAAAATCTCTGCCCTGTGACACTGTGATTTAAATCTCTGTGCTGGGACCATT